TGGTTTCATAGCGGATGTTGTTCAGTTTCATGGTGCAGTCTTCGTGGAAAATGCATCCCCTTCTTCCCCTATAACAGCCCCCCTCTTCAGGGGATACCGAAGAGCAAGTGAAATCAGCATTGCAAGTCAGGTCTCGGGAATGGCAGACAGTTACACAGCTTCAAACATAGCCAACAGTAAGTGCCCTTTTGAAAAAGGTATGGTCAAGGATACAGTGCCTCTCTTTCCCCAGGAAGAGACCAAAGACAAAACAACAATGTGAATGGCTTTGCTGGAGTTAAAGGCCTGCATGCCCATCTTGTCACACCTTACAATTAGAAAAGTTGTAATCCAACCTTTCTATGGTTGAAGTCATCTCAGTGAAGTTATTATGGGGGCAGGAGTGCCTGGGTGCTGTCTTACTCTCTGAGACTAAACCATTCTCAAACACTGAAGTTGATGCGTCCTCTGTTCCTTTTTTCAGCTGCTGTTCACTCCAGGAAGTTTTGCCTTGGCAAGTGATAGACTGAGAGCGTCAGTAGATTAAGAAACAGAGGAGGAAGAGATGTTGGGCACTAGGGGGCCAGCTTTTGGGGTAAAACGTATTAACTCATGATCTATGATGGCACCAAGGCACCTTTACCCCCAAAGCAACTTAATTGAGATGAAATTGTTATAGGGGGGGAGGTGGGTAATGTTCCTTCATAGCAAGCAGTTATGGCAAACCTTAGCATCCCAGATATTTCTAAACTAAATTTCTCTCTTGCTAAGCCAGCCTTAATGTTTAGTATTATGGGAAATGTAGTTCAGAAACATGGTGTGTCTAGGTAAACTGCCATTGGTTTAAGGCATCAGCCCTGTTTTGTTTGTTTATTCTTTGTAATGGCTTATGCCAGGTTCAGAATCTGTTGCCCTCTAGTGGTGCTGGATTTTCCAATGGTGCATACAGGGAAATTTTCTAATCTATTGCTTATATGTGGACAGAACATATCAATTGCAATTTTTTAACAAAGTTCTGAATGTGGAGCAATCGCCATTAAAATAAGATTCTTCCGGCTAATTGCTCTACATCGCTTTACTGGAATTCCTTATTATACATGTGATCCCGTCAGTAAATTAAAGAGTAAATAAAAATAGACTATGCTTTAAAATCTTAATGACAACAGTTTGTAAAAACACTGCACATTTCATGTGCCCCAAGTTTCTTTCTGTGATTCTATAGATATTAGGAATTTAGTTGTTTTAAAAAAATGTTGAATTTTATTTCAAGCTTAACAATTTATACAAATTTTATGTCATTTAAAATGGGCTTTCATGTTCTGCAGCCATGTAAAATATATGAACTGGCACTCACAGCAATGTCAGGCAAAACCAGTGTAACAATAGAGCAGTGTTCCACTTTTCTGACAATGATAAAACCATCAAGTTCGAAGAGGTGCACTATTTATAGACAATTGTATTCGCTAGAAAACACAGCCTATAACTGCTATTCCAAATTGCTTTTATGTTCTGACTCAAGCGACACTTTGCTAAATGCCTAGCTCTGCCTAACCACTTCTGCCTCATTCCCTTCTAGAAGCTGTGCCGTTTTTAATACCATTGGTTCTCAACCCCAGCTAAAAAGTTCTTGTGTATAAAATAGGCCTCATTATTTCTTAACCAGGTGTATGACACGAATAAGACGTATTCGCATTAATTGAGCTGGAGTCAAAAACCAATGTTTCCCTATGTATGTGCACCAATGTATCTTCTTAACCCCTTCATGAAAAGACCATCATAAAAACATGGGATTTTCTAAAACCTTGTTAATGTGTCCCATTTGTGTTCGGTGTCGTTATTACTGTGTTCTGTGTTTTTATTTGCATTCTTTATATTTGCTTCCATTATACCCACAGCCTAAGTTACTTGCCCATGACTGATTTCCATTTGCTGTAATCATGGTTTGTGTGGGCATGAGAAAATCATTTTAATCTAGTAAAATAAATGTTGTTTTTAATTAAATGGAGATATTGTATGGGGCTCGGTCAGCTTTGCATTCACTCCTTATTTCTGCCTCCCTGCTTTGCTGTAAATTACCCTGCAAGCCTTAAGCAGTGCATGACACAAATTCAGCCTGAGAATGAGAAACTGAGAAGCAGTCATGGTTCTATAAAGGTAGTGTGTAGCCACCTCTATTGTAAGCAGAGTGTCAGGGAATTACTGTGTACCGTGGGATTCTCCAGAACCTGGCATTCAAAGGGTTAAGAGGATCGCATCATGCATCTGCTGTTCTAGAGCAGCCTAGATAAATAGGGTTTTCCATAAAGAATCCTCTTGCAAATGTTTCAGTGCTGAGTGAGCTGCCTGATGTGGTGGAGGAGGGTTTGTCCTGTGCTGTGGTAAGTTATTTGCAAATCTAAGGTATTATTTGCTTTCTGTGAGATTGGTTTCATGTAGACTATTGCTGTTATTTTATTTTTAACCCCTTCATGATAGATAGTTATATATATATATATGCGTCATGATGTAATGGAATTTTCCAAAGCATTCTAATGAAGAGGTTAACGTTTACAAACCATGGGCAGCAGTTCTTTCAGATTCCATTTGCTGTGCTATTGGGTGCTCACGCTGTCCATGAAAGCAGTGATTTGTGGAAGCCATAATATCTAGAATGGCAAATATAGGAATTTATTTTTACCATTTCAGATGTTGACATTGCAGTGATTTTCCCAGGTCATACACCAGTTTGATGGCCCAAGCTCTTTTTAATGAGACACATTACATTGTGTAGCAATTCGCTCTCTAACTGCAGATACAAAATCCTAGGACAGCAGATGGGAAAGTTTGCTAAAACAAAATGAAAGAGACTTTATCCACTGTAAGCATCCAATTAACATTGGTACATAAGCTTCTATTTTATAACTTACCATTCAGTATAAAAAAACACACAATTTTCATAAAATAGGGCGCTTTTTTTGTCGTTATATATGGTTATTTTTTATCTCTTTGCAGCTGATTAAAAGAGATTAAAAATGTATGTGTTATTAATGCACTTCATGTAAGTTAATATATTGGCTTCACATAAAATGAAAGTAATATTTATGAAGGTTTAGTAAACCTGCCCTTTATAACATAAACAATCTAACAATTTTATAACATAAAATTGTGCAAATCAAGCACCCCCTCCTCTCCCCCCCCAAGAAAACCTATCCATTTGTAGAATGATAATGTTTTTGTTTTTTTTTTACAGCTGCTTTTACATAATAGTGTATTGCTGTATATAAATCTCAAAAAAGTATCATTAAATAAATGCAAAAATCAGTCTGCTTTCATTATCTTGCGACATGTAAAATATAAAATCAACATGTCTATAAAAGGAGCAAGTAAGTTATGGATGCAGTCCCTGCGGTTTGGTAAAGCTGTTTTACAAAAAATAAGTTCCTTTAAATGATATCCCATACTTGCTCTATTTACATGCTATATAAATCCAGAGATAGATAAGATTAAACAAATAGTGCAGTCAAAACCAATAAAAAATATATAATGTATACAGGATAATATTGACAAAACATGTATCTCTGAGTCATATTACTGGCTTGGATTTAACATTAAGAAATAATTGTTTTGAATTCTTTATTTTTGCAGTACTTTGGATTTACACACATGCTTGTCAAGCCACAATAGCTAGTTCAAGCTAATGAAGTAGTACATGTTTTACATTTCACAGTATTGTGGCATTCGTACATAGCACTTTTTTGTTAGTTATAGAACCTGGTTACACAGGAAATCTGCTGTTCTCATCGTCTGGTCATTTAGTGAACTGGTTAATCCTGTAACCTATGGGTTAACATGCTAGGTGAACCTTGCTAAATCTTGCTTGTAACATCGCTGTACTAGTTAGACATAAGGTTTTATTGCTGTGTCAATATAGGTATAGCTTACAATGTGAATATACAGGGTAAGGGTACTAGATGATACTTGCGCCAGTTTTAAGTGACTGATTACTCGTGGGTTAACTTTGCTAGGGTATTCTATTCTGCTTTTGCTGTTGCGATTGTTTAGAACATAGTTTAACATAAACTTAGAATCCTGAGAGTAGTCGCTTGTGTTGTGTGAGCACCCCACCGCTTCCCCAGCGTGCAGTTAGGTATTCCTGCTCCCCAGATGGATGTTGGACAGGCTTTGAGACTCAGGCTGGTTTCTCAAGTCCTGTCTGCCTGGCTTCTGTTTTGTGGCTGCTGAAGGTTGGTAAGTCCCCCTGTGCTGAAGAGTTTGTCTCAGCCGCTTTCCTCCAGCCGTTTGGTGTCTTCTCCTTGCGGTTTGGCAGTTAGGTGTCGCTGTGCCATTATGGAGGTGATGTGCATTCTGTGCCGGTCGGTCGAGCTGGCCCGGTTCACTCAGCTAAGGGAGTCTGGCCAGACAGCATCGGGCAGGATAGCGGGCGGCGGCCGTCCATCTCGTTCACCACTTGAGTAGGCCTCATGCAGAAGGAGCGGTGCGTGTCTCTTCGGGGGACTAAAACGTTAGTCGCAAGCCTCTCCCTGGGTCCAGAGTCTCCCCATGTGCCGGCCCACTTCTGTAGGTCGTCGGGTAGGGAAAAAAGTTTCTTGGTATAGATTAATGCTTCGAAAGTTGCTGGAGCTGCTGTGCCATGCGACCGGCCAGCATGGCGGTCAGGCCCCCTCCTCCCAAGAACTAATTGAAACATATTACAAATCTGAACAAAGAACCTCAGGATAATCAAAACACAATATCTATTTATTTTCTCCTAAAGCAAAAAGAATATATTTAAAAAGACTGTAAAACCTGAAGCTGCTTTAAAGCCAAATCAGGACACACCACCTTTTCCTGATACTTTCTTAACCTTCTGATACGTAAACAGGGTCCCCATAAATGATTTTAAATAGCTTACATTTAGAAATATTACATCATTATTGTGTGTGTGTGTGTATATATATATATATATATGTATATATATATATATATATATATATATACACACACACACATATACATATACATACACAATTGCCAGAGAGCCATAGCCCTGGCTCTAAATTTGGGGTGCAAGGTTCCCATGTAATTGATGCATATCAATTACATAGGAACCCTGCATCCCAAATTTAGAGCCAGGGTTATGGTTCTCTGTCAAGTGTAAGTTGGCAATGTATTGTATACTTACAGTAGTAGGAAATTTTTACAGTGATACATTATTCTGGGACTCTTTTCCATTGCATTCAAATACTCTACAAAGAACAAAAGGAGAAGGCTGCCAATTTATGATGTAACAAAGTGAAAATCCTACACTTAAAAAAAAAAAATAGTTCTAAAAAGTGAATGTGCCATTTTTAATCATAATATAACAACCTTCATTACAGAACTTTGGTACAATTTCCACAAATTTTAGTATGTCAAAGTATTACTGGATATTACTTCTCTACAGAGAGATTTGGATAAATTTGAGAACTGGGCAGGTAATTGTCAGATGGGAATACAGATCAATGTAAATATATGCATTTTGTAATATGGAACCCACAGGCAACTTAAATGAAATGGGGTAGAGTTATGGATAATATTTAATGGAAAGGACTTTGGAACAATTATAAATAACAAACCAGGCAACAATGTGCAATGCGGTCTCCCATTGCAAAAGCTGATAAGGGTGCTGTCATAAATAAAAACACATTATCAAAATATAATTTTGCCTCTTTATCAGGAGGATATTGCAGAACTAGAAAAAAAAGTGCAAAGACAAGCTACAAAATTAAAAAGGGGGATGGAAAACATTAGCTTTGAAGAATGACAAGAAAAACTGCATTTTTGTTCTTTAGTGAAAAAAAAAAAAACAGAAGAGGTCGCCCATTGAAACGGAAAGAAATGTGTTTTCACTTATAGTAGAAGAAATGGTTCTTTACAGTAAGAGCAAGATGTGGAATTCCCTGCCAAAAGTGGTTGTGTTATCAGATCCTGTAGAAATGTAAAAAATAAATAAAAATCTTAGAAAACAGAATATTTAATTTGACAATTTTTATTGAGTTTTCACAGAAATATATTAAAAAAATAAAATGACACAAGAACAGTGTCACATTAACATGTGGCACTCAGAATGACAACACTATCACATGGTCAACTTGTGTGGGTATTGAAATTACAGTAAAAGAATTGGAGTTTAGAAAAGGAAAAATAAAAATAGAAAATATTAGACTTTCATTTTTAATATTTCTTATTATTTGTTTCTGGACAAATAATATACATATACAGCTCCATCTCCTACTCTTTATACTTATTGCACATGTTTAACATATTACACATTCCTGTACCCCCTTTCCTCTGCTCCTCTGTTTTCCCTGGTAAGAAATGCATTCCACTCAGCCCTGGCGTGGCTGGTCACCTTGTTCAGGCACGTGTGAATAGCTGCCATGATCTCACAAGACAGATTCCAAGAAACCTGCCTAATAAAGTTCTGGGTTGTTGTGATATCCCTTGAATTTCAGAGGTGACCTAACAGAGTATTGAATGCTATGATTATGTGGAACGTCAAATTACTGGAGACCTTAGGGATAGTGTGCAGTAGCATAATAGTAAATTTCCAATTTGGGCTCAAAGATATCTGGAGAAGTGAGTATAGTATGTCCACCGTTGATTTCCAAGCCTATACAATCATTGGACATATCCACCGCAAATGGAACATTGTTCTCACTTCGAGATCAAATCTCTAGTATGTGTTCGAACATCCTGGGTAATTTGGGATATTTTTGCCTTTTTGTGTCTATTCGCTTAACTCAATGGACATAAGCATTTATTTCAACCTATATTATTATGTAACTAATTAGCATGTTTATTTTCTATTTTTCTTGGTATTTGTCCACAGCATTAATATTATAATGCAGTTTTGGAATTTTTTTGGGGGGAGGGGGTGGGATTTGATCCTCCTTATCTGAGGAGCTACTTTGTGATGATAATATGATAAGTGGGACCATTTTGACTAATACACCCTGTTCCAAATTATTATGCAAATTATATTTTTCTCACTTACCTAAATTATTGATGTAAATAACAGTCAGCATAATTCTCATGTTATCAACTATTAAGAGTACAATTCAAATTTTATTGAACAAACCTCCTAATGATAACAGTATTTTTTTTAAACATAAAAAACTTACAATGCACTGTTCCAAATTATTACGCAAAGTAAGTTTCAAAACACTTTATAGGTTATAAAGAACTGAAAATTGTCATTTGTTGTGTTTGCGGCATATTTACTGAAATCAAAAGCTATTTCAATTAAACTTATACCAACATTTAAACTTTTTAAACATTTTAACAGGTCACGTTACATTTTAACATAGGACCCCTTATTTGATAGCAGCTTCACAAGTCTTGCATCCATTGAACTTGTGAGTTTTTGGACAGTTTCTGCTTGAATTTGTTTGCAAGATGTCAGAATAGCCTCCCAGAGCTGCTGTTTGGCTGTAAACTGCCTCCCACCCTCATAGATCCTTTGCTTGAGGATGCTCCAAAGGTTCTCAATAGGATTGAGGTAAGGGAGGATGGAGGCCACACCATGACTTTCTCTCCTTTTATTCCCATAGCAGCCATTGATGCAGAGGTATTCTTTGCAGCATGAGATGGTGCATTGTCATGCATGAAGATGATTTTATTACAGAAAGCATAGTTCTTCCTTCTGTACCAGGGAAGAAAGTGGTCAGTCAGAAACTCCACATACTTTGTAGAGGTCATCTTTACACCTTCGGGCACCCTAAAGGGGCCGACCAGCTCTCTTCCCATGATTCTGGCCCAAAGCATGACTCCACCACCGCCTTGCTGACGTTGCAGCCTTGTTGGAACAGGGTGGCCATCCACCAACCATCCACTACTCCACCCATCTGGACCATCCAGGGTTGCACGGCACTCATCAGTGAACAGGACTGTTTGAAGATTAGTCTTCATGTATTTTTCTGCCCATTGCAGCCGTTTCTGCTTGTGAACATTGGTTAGTGGTGGCCGAATAGAAGGTTTATGCACAGTTGCAAGACTCTGGAGGACTCTACACCTTGATGTCCGTGGGACTCCAGAGGCACCAGCAGCTTCAAATATCTGTTTGCTGCTATGTAATGGTATTTTAGCAGCCGCTCTCTTGATTCACTGCATGGATCTGGCAGAAATCTTCCTCAATGTGCCTTTATCTGCACGAACCCGTCTGTGCTCTGAATCAACCACAAATCTCTTAATAGTGCGATGATCTCACTTAAGTTTTCGTGAAATATCTAATGTTTTTATACCTCGTCCAAGGCATTGAACTATTTCATTCTTTTCGGCAGCAGAGAGATCCTTTTTCTTCCCCATATTGCATGAAAAGGTGCTCTGCTTAATAATGTGGAACACCCTCCTTTAGTAGTTTTTCCTTAAATTGGGCTCACCTGGCAATCTAACTATCACAGGTGTCCGAGATTGTTTTCAGTGATCAAAAGAGCCCTGAGACACAATGCCATCCATGAGTTAAACTGAAAAACAAAATATTTAATCTTTGTGACACTTAACCATTAAGACCGGAGGGCGTACAATTACGCCCTATTTTAGGCGGCTCTAAACGCCGCCGGACGTAATTGTACGCCCTCTGGTCTTTCTTTACTTACCCGGTCGCCGGCGATCCCACGCCGGCGATCGCGGTGGGGGGGGACTCCCAGGGAGCCCCCCGCGGCACATTCGACCCCCTGGAAGCCCCCCCAGCCATGTGAGTGTGAGGTCCTTGCGAGGACCCCACAATCACATGGCCGGGTAGGCTGCCTGCTGTATTGCCAGCAGGGGGGGCTGCCTGTAATGACAGGTGGTCCCCTTGCTGGCTGAAAATAAAATTAAAATCAATTAAGTGTAAAAAAAAAAAAATATATATATATATATATATATATATATATATACTTAGATCATAAGTATATATATATATATACACATATACACACATACACTGTCTAGGTGTATTTTACTATTAATATATATAATTATATATATATATATATATATATATATTAATATCAAATTACACGTAGACTGATACTGATTAAATATATATATAATTATTGTTATATATATTTATATATAATATAAAAAAATTAAATATGTAAATACGTTAAAAAATAAAATTAAAAAAATAATTAAAAAATATAATTAAAAAATATATAGATGTGTGTTATTTCGTTCTAACTGTATTGTGATATTAATATATATATATATTTATATCAAAATACACGTAGAACGAAATAATATATATATCTACATACATAAATATATACGTATATATCACTATATATATACCTATATATAAATAAAAATATTTTTAAAAAATTATATATATATATATATATATATATATATATATATATATATATCACATACGTATATATATATACATACATATATTAATTCTACATATATATTTATATAATATATTTACATAATTAGGTATCTTAATTAATTACAATTAGCGGGACCTGCCTGACAACCCATGCCGAAAGTAAAGGGAATTTAATTTGCTTGCACTATATTTAACCCTATAACTTTCCAAGACACCATAAAACCTGTACATGGGGGGTACTGTTCTACTCGGGAGACTTCGCTGAACACAAATATTAGTGTTTCAAAACAGTAAAATGTATTACAATGATGATATCGCCAGTAAAAGTGAAGTTTTTTGCATTTTTCATGCACAAACAGCACTTACACGGACGATATTATTGCTGTGATACTTTTTGCTGTTTTGAAACACAAATATTTGTGTTCAGCGAAGTCTCCCGAGTACAACAGTACCCCTCATGTACAGGTTTTATGGTGTTTTCAAAAGTTACAGCGTCAAATATAAGGCTTGTGTTTCATTTTTTTCACATTAAAATTCACCAGATTGGTTACGTTGCCTTTGAGACCCTATGGTAGCCCAAGAATGAAAATTACCCCTATGATGGCATACCATTTGCAATAGTAGACAACCCAAGGTATTGCAAACGGGGTATGTCCAGTCTTTTTTAGTAGCCACTTAGTCACAAACACTGGCCAAAATTGGCGTTTTTTGCATTTTTCACACAAATACTAACGCTAACTTTGGCCAGTGTTTGTGACCAAATGGCTACTAAAAAAGACTGG